TAGGCATGCAACAAATGTTGGGTGAGTGAACACGTAAGTGTTTCTTTTTTTCTTCAACTGCTTTCCCCTTTTCTCTCTTTGTTGCTTAGTGCCTTTCATGAATAGCCTATGTTGACCTTCCTGTATCCTCCCAACCTTCCACTAGCAAACCTTTGGAAACTGGCAACATTATTGGAGGTCACCCAGAGGTTTTGACTTGCTGAATCCAATACCTTTTTATCAACCTGTGTGGTTGGTTGATTGAATTTCTCATTCGTATTCAGCTCTCTGGAGATCGACGCTGTGAACTGTTTCTGCCTTACTGAATGCCCTTCCTTGGCCTCCAGGACTTGGGTCCTTTCTAGATTTTTCCTAATTCTCTGACTGCTCCTCCCTGTGTTCTTGGTTGTCCAGTTTTCTTCCTTCAGTCTCTCAAATAGTTCAGGTGCTCTGCTCAATTGGATTCTGCCTGCATACCTCCGTTGTGGGAGTTATTCTGCAGCTGAGGGTCAAGCGTGGTAATGGGGGAGTTGGTATTTGTGATTGTTCCTTTACAACCTTGTCTTTCCCACTAGACTCTCAACTCATGGCAGAGCCCACCTCTAGTTAGTGCTTAATTCAGTGATGGCACCTGGAGGAAACTGACTTAGTGGATGTTGGATAGATGGATGGATGATGGACGGATAGATTGTTGGATGGATGGATGGATGGATGATGGATGGGTAGATGGATGGATGGATGGGTGGATGATGGATGAATTGATGGATGGATAGATTGATGGATCATGGATGGATGGATGATGGATAATGGGTGATGGAAGAATGAATGGAGGAACAATTGAGTGAATGAATGGATTTGAAGGGTAGGTTGAACTTAGATTGTGGAAAGAAACAAGTATCAACATAACTTCTTAATTATAGAGACAAGTCATTCAACATTTCTGAACTGTGTTCTGAGAGTAAAAGACACTCTACAGTGTGCCTCTCCTGCATACTTTTTCACTTTCATACCTTTGCTCATCTCTCTCCTCTACCTTGTATACTCTCCTCCCTGTTCTCATCTATTGAATACTAAGTGCCTATGGTATACTCACTCCTATGAAGAGGCATTGCCATTCCATGAGGCTAGATGGAATTGCCACCTCTTTTGTACTTCTCTTATGACCCTCACCACATTCTGCCTCCAATCAGTCATTTAACCAGAAGTGTAATCCCCCCATCAAATCCTTTGTTTACTGAGGGCACCATTCTGTGTCACCTCTAGTACCTGGACACTCAATACATATATAGACTGAGATAGATCACTTATCTTGATAATAGTTATTTGTTTCTCAAGTCTTAAGATATAACGTTATAAGTAGGAAGATTTATGGGCTGGGCTAATTTCCAGCAGATGATTTTATTTAAAAAATTAGAACAGAAAAGTGTATCCAGCATGCCTGTTTGAGTTGGACACAGATAATAAAAGAGAGGAAGGTGGCTCTTTTGAACATAGACACTGTAGTGTATAGGATGCTTCGTGTCTTCAGGGTTGATTAATCCTGCCGTCCCCCACCCAAAGCAGAATTCCAGGGGACTGCCTTCATTTTTTTTCCCCTGACATCGCAGCATATTGGTTTTGTCCTCAGGTCCCCTCCTCTCATGGTTCTGAGATGGCTGTCACAGTTCCAACTGTCCCCAAGACAGGACAATATCACATGACCTTTCTTTGTCAGCCAAGAGACTTTCTCCAGAAGTCCTCTTGTTATGTCCCCCAGGGATGAACTGGCCAAAATGATATCACATGCTCATCCCTAAACCAATCAGTGGCAAGAGGAATGGGTGCCCAATGATCAGATTTGCCCCTGAAGTTGGGGTAGGGTCAGCCTTTGCCAGGGCATGTCGGGGGGCTGGGCTACATACCCAAGCAAAGCTGGGTTTCCTTTCTCAGGAGAAGGGGGCAGCCAGTGTGTCCGTTGCCTTTGCCACCTGTGGGGAGGGGGCTCTAAACAGATGAGCGGGCTCATGGTTCACCGTGACTGTCCCTGGTGTCGCCGCTGGGAATGAAGCCTTTCCACAAAAGACGGCTGTTGTTCACTCAAGGTCCGGGGTGTTTTCTGTCGAGAAGGCAGCAGCTCTCTAGGACATCTAGTTTTCCATCTTCCCAGTAGCTGACCTCAGCTTATGAAACATTCACTGTTGCTGACACAGGTGGCCAGGAAAATCTGTGCGTAGGGAGTGGCTTCTTGTCTGCGTGTTTATGGAACGAGGACGTTGCATGTCCCTGAACATACGATGCCTTGTGTCTCTTCTCTTGGCACTGCCACAAACACTGTCTCCTTGGACTCACACCATCTCTGTCTAACCCATGGCTTGCAGATGGGCAGACTGAGGTGGAGAGCAGTCTGCTGGCCGCTGGTGGTCAGCACCAATCTGGCCCTGAGTCCAGTCTCTCTGTGCACCACGACTGCTTTGCAAATTAAACTTGCCCTTGAGATGCTCAGGTGTGTTTAACTTTGACCATTTCCAGTGAGAATTTTCCAACGATCACGATCACATGTGTTCTCCTACTGCGTAGATCAGGGGGCTTATTGGATCCAGGGGTGATGGGGTTCAGGGCACTTGACCTTGGCAGGGCTGGGCACCATGTTCTTCATCCTGTGCTTTCTGCAGGACCGAGGGCTGTTCAGCTGGCTTGAGCAGTTTGCTCTCATACCAAGGTTCTCAAATGGCTGTGTTTTTTGACTTCTTGAGTCTGGTTTGCATAACTTTCTGACTTTTCTGCTTTGATTGGGCCGGTTGTTACCTCACGCGGCTGGTAGCGTGCCTTTTCTCTGGCAAAGCTTCTCTCTCCCTAGACTTCGTGACATCTTTTTGGATCCTTTGTGGGCTTCTCAGCTGCATTACAGATAATTTACGTTGTCAGATAAATGCCCTCTGGATAGATGAAATATTAATAACATTATAACGCTAATTTTAAAATACCCATTGCACATATTTATTAGAATCTTCTCTGGCCTTTGCTCTTGTCTTTAAATCAGGTCCAATGATATTCAATCATAAATCAAGTGTTTCTTTTGGCATAGAAGAGGTTTGGGCATGAAAACATACTATAGGATGACACAGTATAGGAAATTTTAGCCCAGGCTTTTAAAACCCATGTTCCCTTTGCAGCAATTGGAAACTAAATACTATTTTAACCACTTGTCCGTGGAAAGCATTTAACCAAATAATAGTCAATATTGGCTTTTGGATTTAGAGAAAAAGAAATTTGGAAACACCTTAATTAACTCAAGATCTGTGTGGCCATGCAAAGCATGACCTAATTCACTGCTATCCCCTCCTTTCCTGCTGAGCGGCCTGTCTCTGAGCATGGGAGGCCCCATGGTTCCTTGAGGCTGGATTCTTATCCCACATCACTGTGAAGAAAACACTTTGCAAACGTGTTTAGGATTATACAATCATTATTATGTAGTTCTTCTCTGATTATCCAGATGAATATTCTTGGTTCTGAAAATTTGGAAAATGCCCATGATTATAAAGAAGAAAATAAGACTCCCCAGAAATCACATTGGAAACCCAAAGACCACTTCCAGTAGTGACTTCCTGCACTTTCTTAGAGCCCTCCTCCTCTTTCTATCTCCCCTCTTGTTTTGTTTTTTTAATTTTTATTGGAGTCTAGTTGATTTACAATGTTGTTAGTTTCTGCTGTACAGCAAAGTGACTCAGTTATACATATGCATATATCCACTCTTTTTTTTGTTAGATTATTTTCCCATATAGGCCATTACAGAGCATTGAGTAGAGTTCCCTGTGCTATACAGTAAGTCCTTATTAGTTATCTATTTTATATATAGTAATGTGTGTATGTCAACCTTATTCTCCCAGTTTATCCCTCCCCTTATCCCCTGTAGAAGACAAACCGTAAGTTTGTTTTCTACATCTGTGACTCTACTTCTGTTTTGTAACTAAGTTCATTTGTACCCTTTCTCCTCTCTTGTCTTTCATCCATCTGTTTTCTGTTTATGATACTGGAATCAGACTATGTATATGGTTTATATCCTAATTTTCCACCAAGAATTTGGATTTTCCATATCCTACCAAACCCTTTGCCCCACCAGTTGGGCAATTTGGTTTAAATATCTTGATGCACAGGCCCGCAGCCTTCAGGTGGAGTTGGCTGGGGCCTCTTGGGTGGAGTGGGAGTCTCAGTTGGTCTGTGGAACCATTTATAAATAATATTGTCCATTGCAAATATTGATTTTGATGCAATACTTAAGGATTTTCTAACTTGAAAATATTTTTGACTGAAAAAGCTGCCGTTTGCAATTAGTCATGTTGTGAGGATTTTGTTAAATGTACTAAATATTTTGGGATTGGATATTTGATTTGGAAACTTGCATAAGCACAGAAATTCCTGTATCTCCAAAAAAAAAAAAAACAAAAAAAAACCCCAGAGAGATTGGATTTTAGAGCTGCACCGACAGGCATATTCTGAGGAAGATTTTTTATTTTTATTTTATTAATATGGTAGTTCTCTAATCTCTTAAAAAAATATGGATCCTTGTGGCATCTACAAATTAAAAAGACTGTTTGTTTCCTGGGACTAAAACAGTTGTTTAATTACAGTTCTCAGGATGTTGAATAAACCTCACTACTCTTTGTTTTGAGCAGACAAAAGTGCTAAAGTAATGATCTGGGGAAACCATTATTACTAAAGCTATGGGCTGTGAGGAAAGGAAAACATTTTCAAAATATTTTCTTTGCAAAAGTATACGTGATCTTCAGTATATCCATTCAGGCTTGGCCCTCATTTCATTCCTAATTTTTGCTTTGTAATGCTGAACTTCCCTGGGAGAAATGTTGCCCCATCTCCCTCCCTCACTTTTTTTTTTTTAAAGTAAGAATTTTAAGTTCATTCCCCTTTTAGGATATTTTAAAGTAATGTTTCAGAAATAGGATTTGTCACTAAATGTATAGTCGATCCTTGGTGTTAATATTTGGGAAAAAAACAGGGCTTAATATATTGAAATTCTCTTTCAGGTTGTTCCAAGATCTTTGAAGACCCAGGAAAAAGCCGTGTTGACCAAAAGGAAGACAAATGACTCACAGAGAGAAAAGATGGGGGAGCCAAGGGCAATTAAAGGTAAAACAACAAAACCCAGAAAACCCTACCTTTCCTAGTCAAGAATTTTTAGAAAAATGTGAATGTAAATATTTTATATCTTCAGTATTTGATATTTGTGGTCCCAGACCTCCAAAGACCTTTTCTTTGGTCCTTTGGTGTACTTAGAGGACTTATATTGGTTCCATTGATTCTCCTGCACAAATAAGATGCCCTGGCGCCCAGAACTACCTATTCCTGCCTTCAACACTGTAGAGTTTTTTTTTAAGAGAAAAAACCCCCGTAAAAATCAGTGGGGGGAGTCTTATTTCACAGGTGTCTTAAGACTCTCAACTATTTAAATAAACAAAAACTGGATATTACAGATCATGTATGATGTTTCATTTATGCAGCATAGAATAGCAATGACTTAGTGGATCTACACTGAGGAAAGAAACCTTGGCTATACATCAATGGCTAAATGAATGTATAGTTAGCTATATTTAGAGTTTAGTAAGTTCTTCATGCATCATTTTATTGTATTTTTTTTTTTAGGTGGGAGAATTTTATTTTATTTAAAATTTTTTTTTATTTTTTAACATCTTTATTGGAGTATAATTGCTTTACAATGGTGTGTTAGTTTCTGCTTTATAACAAAGTGAATCAGTTACACATATACATATGTTCCCATATCTCTTCCCTCTTGCGTCTCCCTCCCTCCCACCCTCCCTATCCCACCCCTCTAGGTGGTCACAAAGCACCGAGCTGATCTTCCTGTGCTATGCGGCTGCTTCCCACTAGCTATCTGTTTTACGCTTGGTAGTGTATATATGTCCATGCCACTCTCTCACTTCATCGCAGCTTCCCCTTACCCATCCCGTGTCCTCAAGGCCATTCTCTATGCCTGCGTCTTTATTCCTGTCCTGCCCCTAGGTTCTTCATAACCAGTTTTTTTTTCTTAGATTCCATATATATGTGCTAGCATAAGGTATTTGTTTTTCTCTTTCTGACTTACTTCACTCTGTATGACAGACTCTAGGTCCATCCACCTCACTACAAATAACTCAATTTCGTTTCTTTTTATGGCTGAGTAATATTCCATTGTATATATGTGCCACATCTTCTTTAGCCATTCATCTGTTGATGGACACTTAGGTTACTTCCATGTCCTGGCTATTGTAAATAGAGGTGCAAAGAACATTGTGGTGCATGACTCTTTTTGAATTATGGTTTTCTCAGGGTATATGCCCAGTAGTGAGATTGCTAGGTCATATAGTAGTTCTATTTTTAGTTTTTAAAGGAACCTCCATACTGTTCTCCATAGTGGCTGTATCAATTTACATTCCCACCAACAGTGCAAGAGGGTTCCCTTTTCTTCACACCCTCTCCAGCATTTATTGTTTGTAGATTTTTTGATGATGGCCATTCTGACTAGTATCAATGAGGTGATACCTCACTGTACTTTTGATTTTCATTTCTCTACTGATTAGTGATGTTGACCATCCTTTCATGTGTTTGTTGGCAGTCTGTATATCTTCTTTGGAGAAATGTCTCTTCAGGTCTTCTGCCGATTTTTGGTTTGGGTTGTTTGTTTTTTTGATTTTGAGCTGCATGAGCTACTTGTATATTTTTGAGATTTATCCTTTGTCAGTTGCTTCCTTTGCAAATATTTTCTCCCATTCTGAGGGTTGTCTTTTCATCTTGCTTATAGTTTCCTTTGCTGTGCAAAAGCATTTAAGTTTCATTAGGTCCCATTTGTTAATTTTTGTTTCTATTTCCATTTCTCTAGGAGGTGGGTCAAAAAGGATGTTGCTGTGATTTATGTCATAGAGTGTTCTGCCTGTGTTTTCCTATAAGAATTTTATAGTGTCTGGCCTTACATTTAGGCCTTTAATCCATTTGAAGTTTATTTTTGTGTACAGTGTTAGGGAGTATTCTAATTTCATTCTTTTACATATAGCTGTCCAGTTTTCCCAGCACCACTTATAGAAGAGGCTGTCTTTTCTCCATTGTATATTCTTGTCTCCTTTATCAGAGGTAAGGTGACCATATGTGCATGGGTTTATCTCTGGGCTTTCTATCCTGTTCCATTGATCTATAGTGCTGTTTTTGTGCCAGTACCATACTGTCTTGATTACAGTAGCTTTATAGTATAGTCTGAAGTCAGGGAGTGTGATTCCTCCAGCTCCGCTTTTCTTTCTCAAGGTTGCTTTTGCTTTTTGGGTTCTTTTGTGTTTCCATACAAATTGAGAAATTTTTTGTTCTAGATCTGTGAAAAAAGCCATTGGTAGTTTGATAGGGATTACATTGAATCTGTAGATTGCTATGGGTAGTATAGTCATTTTCACAGTGTTGATTCTTCCAATCCAAGAACATGGTATATCTCTCCATCTGTTTGTATCATCTTTAATTTCTTTCATCAGTGTCTTACAGTTTTCTGGATACAGGTCTTTTGTCTCCTTAGGTAGGTTTATTCATAGGTATTTTATTCTTTTTGTTGCAATGGTAAATGGGAGTGTTTCCTTAACTTCTCTTTCAGATTTTTCATCATTAGTGTATAGGAATGCAAGAGATTTCTGTGCCCTAATTTTGTATCCTGCTACTCTACCAAATTCATTGATTAGCTGTAGTAGTTTCCTGGTAGCTTCTTTAGGATTCTCTATGTATAATATTATGTCACCTGCAAACAGTGACATTTTTACATCTTCTTTTCTGATTTGGATTCCTTTTATTTCTTTTTCTTCTATGATTGCTGTGGCTAAAACTTCCAAAACTATGTTGAATAATAGTAGTGAGAGTGGGCAACCTTGTCTTGTTCCTGATCTTAGTGGAAATGGTTTCAGTTTTTCACCATTGAAAATGATGTTGGCTGTGGGTTTGTCATGTATGGCATTTATTATGTTGAGGTAAGATCCCTCTATGCCTATTTTCTGCAGGGTTTTTATCATAAATGGGTGTTGAATTTTGTCGAAAGCTTTTTCTCCATGTATTGAGATGATCATATGGTTTTTATCCTTCAATTTGTTAATATGGTGTATCACATTGCTTGGTTTGCGTATATTGAAGAATCCTTGCATTCCTGGGATAAACCCCACTTGATCATGGTGTATGATCCTTTTAATGTGCTGTTGGATTCTTTTTGCTAGTATTTTGTTGAGGATTTTTGCATCTATGTTCAGCAGTGATACTGGCCTGTAGTTTTCTTTCTTTGTGACATCTTTGTCTGGTTTTGGTGTCAGGGTGATGGTGGCCTCGTAGAATGAGTTTGGGAGCGTTCCTCCCTCTGCTTTATTTTGGAAGAGTTTGAGAAGGATAGGTGTTAGCTCTTCTCTAAATGTTTGATAGAATTCGCCTGTGAAACCATCTGGTCCTGGGCTTTTGTTTGTTGGAAGATTTTTAATCACAGTCTCAATTTCAGTGCTTGTGATTGGTCTGTTTATATTTTCTAATTCTTCCTGGTTCAGTCTCGGAAGGTTGTGCTTTTCTAAGAATTTGTCCATTTCTTCTAGGTTGTCCATTTTATTGTCATAGAGTTGCTTGTAGTAATCTCTCATGATCCTTTGTATTTCTGCAGTGTCAGTTGTTACTCCTCCTTTTTCATTTCTAATTCTATTGATTTGACTCTTCTCCCTTTTTTTCTTGATGATTCTGGCTAATGGTTTATCAATTTTGTTTATCTTCTCAAAGAACCAGCTTTTAGTTTTATTGATCTTTGCTGTCATTTCCTTCATTTCTTTTTCATTTATTTCTGATCTGATCTTTATGATTTCTTTCCTTCTGCTAACTTTGGTGTTTTTTTGTTCTTCTCTCTGTAATTGCTTTAGGTGTAAGGTGAGGTTGTTTATTTGAGGTGTTTCTTGTTCCATGAGGTAGGATTGTATTGCTATAAACTTCCCTACTAGAACTGTTTTTGCTGCAGACCATAGGTTTTGGGTTGTCGTGTTTTCATTGTCATTTGTTTCTAGGTATTTTTTGGTTTCCTCTTTGATTTCTTCAGTGATCTCTTGGTTATTAAGTAGTGTATTGTTTAGCCTCCCTGTGTTTGTATTTTTTACAGATTTTTTACTGTAATTGATATCTAGTCTCATAGCATTGTGTTCGGAAAAGATACTTGATATGATTTCAATTTTCTTAAATTTACCAAGGCTTGAGTTGTGACCCAAGATATGATCTGTCCTGGAGAATGCTCCATGAGCACTTGAGAAGAAAGTGTATTCTGTTGTTTTTGGATGGAATGTCCTATAAATATCAATGAAGTCCATCTTGTTTAATGTATCATTTAAAGCTTGTGTTTCCTTATTTATTTTCATTTTGGATGATCTGTCCATTGGTGAAAGTGGGGTGTTAAAGTCCCCTACTATGATTGTGTTACTGTTGATTTCCCCTTTTATGGCTGTTAGCATTTTCCTTATGTATTGAGGTGCTACTATACTGGGTGCATAAATATTTACAATTGTTATATCTTCTTCTTGGATTGATCCCTTGATTATTATGTAGTGTCCTTCTTTGTCTCTTGTAATAGTCTTTGTTTTAAAGTCCCTTTTTCCTGATATAAGAATTGCTACACCAGCTTTCTTTTGATTTCCATTTGCATGGAGTATCTTTTTCCATCCCCTTATTTTCAGTCTGTATGTGTCCCCAGGTCTGAAGTGGGTCTCTTATAGACAGCCTATATATGGGTCTTGTTTCTGTATCCATTCAGCCAGTCTATGTCTTTTGGTTGGAGCATTTAATCCATTTACATTTAAGGTAATTATCGATATGTATGTTCCTATTACCATTTTCTTAATTGTTTTGGGTTTGTTTTTGTAGGTCCTTTTCTTCTCTTGTGTTTCCCACTTAGAGAAGTTCCTTTAGCATTTGTTGTAGAGCTGGTTTGGTGGTGCTGAATTCTCTTAGCTTTTGCTTGTCTGTAAAGGTTTTAATTTCTCCATCAAATCTGAATGAGATCCTTGCTGGGTAGAGTAATCTTGGTTGTAGTTTCTTCCCTTTAATCATGTTAAATATGTCCTGACACTCCCTTCTGGCTTGCAGAGTTTCTG